TTGTGGTTGCCTGGGAACGAGAGGAGGCTCTAGGAGCCCACTTCTCAAGCCCTGACATTGTTGGCTTTTCTCTCTTTTCTCACCTCTCTCCTCCCAACCCCTGTCTTCACTCTCTCTCTCCCCCTCCCCTCTCTTCTCTCTTGTCTCTCTCCTCTCTTCCTTTTACAAGTGAGGTGGTGGGCTAGGAAAACTGTGCTCAAGAGAACAGAACTGTGGAAGGCGATGTCTGCTTCTTGGTCTCTGGAGAAAGGTTGAGCAAACATGGAGGCATGGCTCTCCTCGCCTTTGCTACTGTTCCACTGTCCATCTGTTCCTCTCGCTTTCATTGACAGGTAAAAACACCAGCAATCTCGGGTGTGCCTGCCAGAGCACAGACTCTGCAAGCCCACATCCTTCCACAGCTATGGAAACCACCATGCTTGCTTCCCCTGCTGACTGATTCATTATCTCAGCTTGGTATTTCCATGGGACCCGCATTAGCAAACAGCCAGCTTTTCACTCTCTAGCTTTCCTCCCAGAAATACATGAAAATACCAATTATGTGAAGGAGCTGAGGTTCAGAGGGGCCACGCTGCTTGGCTTATGGCTTGCATCTGTGATCAGTTTGTTTGAAAGTGGATGGCAGGCCAGGCAGCCTCAGGCACAGGCAGCAGAGGCCTCTTGTAACTTGAACGATGTCAAAGCCCTTTCCAAAATCTCTTTTGTGATCTTTGCTATATCTACTGAGAGAATGAAGACCATTCTCAGCAATTGTTGACATTCTAGAAAATGCTGGCATCATGCCAAAGGGGCACATGGTGATACCAGGTGAACGACCCCAGAGAAAGCTTGCAGAGGGTGTGATTGCAATCACATCCACATAAAACAACCTCCTTGGAAGCGAAGAGCAGAGGCTCTGGCTTGACAAATGGTAGGGAGATAGAAGGGAGCCAGCCTCCAGTGCCACTCTCTCTAGTCATGGATGGAATCAAAGGTTCACACCAGTGATGTCACACTTGGCTCCTGTCAAGACTGAGGTCTGTGGCTGCTCACTTTCTCATCAGCCTCATTATTCTGGACAACAGGTCTCTTGTGGAAATCTGAAATTTCTTGGGTGAAAAATACATCAGCAGGTTTGAATGGGGCCAGGTATTGTCTCTTGGGTGTTTCAAACCTAGAAAGATGAATTTATCCTTCAAGGAAGCAACATTGAACTTGTTTCAAATTCAGTTGCTTTGAATCAGCAAGTTCTAATTGTTTAGAAAAACGCACACAAGGATATTAGGCAATTTGGAGGTGTCTATGTCTCTGAAAAAGGAACAATTCAACAGCCTGATAGTAAGATCTAAGAGTTGTCCAACTATAGAAACAAGATCCTGGATTACACAACCAATGATGCAATAAAGACTTCCATTGATTTGCGCAAAAAAAAAATTGCTTGCACTCAGATGTGGTACTGCCTACAATCACTTTGATTTCTGGGGGTGGTATGACTGCCCTTATGCTCATCAGTCTGGCTTGTGATGGGGCGTATATGGTGCTGGAGCCTGAGCAGGTGAGCAAGGCAGCCCAGCAGGGTTGAGTTGGGGGAGCGGTGTGCCATGGCAGGGGACGTGCGTGGGAGGTGGAGGGGATCTGGTGCTGGATGTCAGAACTCCTGCTAGTGTTCTAGGGCAGGGGGAAGCAGGGGGCCTGTCACAAAATGAAATGGCCAAACTATGAGAAGAGGGCTTCTAAGAAGGTGCTGGGAAGAGGTAATTTATACCCAGGTGGATTGGTCACATAAGTAAATTCAGGGAGGATGATGGGAACCAGGTGCCTCGCTATCAAAGGAGGCTGTTACAAGCATGGAGACGAGGAATCATCAATGAACTCATGATGGTGGGTCAAATCAGAGCTGTTGGTTTAAATACCTGTATACATGTGTATTTATACATATGTACATATATACCTGTGTGTGTGTATATATATATATCCCTTTGCTGGCCGCAGTGACATCACAACAGCAATGATCGCACACAGCACTCAGATCCTTGGCTTCTAAATACCATTCTCTACTGAAAGAGGTTGAGGTTTCTTGGAGAAATGGCTGATTCTAGGGACTGGTGCAGGAGTGCACAAGATTAGTGCCTGATAAAATGAACACCAGGGTTACTGGAGGAGGCAGGGAACAGCAGGGAAGGGCTGACTTCTGTTTTGGGTTGTCTAGGCTGGTGTGCTGACATGAGAAGGCTCAGCCACAGATATCCAGGCCTGATGTTCTGAGATGTCTGCACATAGCAGTATGTTTGGATTTTGTCAGCATGTGGTGATACTTGAAATACAGGGGGAGGGGGCTGGGCCAACCCACCCAGGAAGGATTACATAGTAAGAGGGGAAGGGGTTAAGAATGGAGCCTAGACTCAAAGGGCAGTGTAAGGAGAGGTTCAGCTAAGAGGACCAGAGGGAGGACAGTGTCTAGGCTCTGACACCATCCCGGAGATGGAAATGAGGGCAGATGGTGTGGGGTTCCAGAGCAGCACCTGTGTGCGGGAGTCATGGAAAATGAGAAAATGTCTTACTCCTTTTGGAGGACTTGGGTACAAGTGCTATGATGTCAAATGAACTGGCTCATTTCTATTATTCTGATAAAGGGACATGCCTCAATTTCCCTCTTGTCACAAGGTGAAGTGTTATACCCTTCATCAATAGAAGTGTTTATTTGTAGTGGTTTTGAGTCATTTATTTCACACAAGAAAGTGGGGACAGAGGCAGCATTTCTGAAAATAACTTGTCCTTGTTTCTTTTGCTATTATTATTGCTGTTATTATGGATTTGGCATTGGGTAGATGGTGCCTTCATAAATAAATATCCAGACTTTAATAAATATTTTTATTTGATAAATAAAAAGTCAGGCATGGTGGTACATGCCTATAATCCCTGCACTTGAGAGGCTGAGGCAGGAGGTTCATGATTTTGAGGCCAGCCCAGGCTGGTTGAGAAAAAAAGTCCATCACAGTAGTCCCTTCCTTATCTGTGGTCCCTTTCTGCAGTCTCAGTGACCTCAAGTCAACCAGCCTGAAAATATTAAGTGAAAAATATCAGAAACAAATAACTCATAGGTTTTTATGACAGTGAATTATTATAATCTGTTCTATGTTATTATTGTTATTGTTAATTTCTTTCTGTGCCTACTTCATAAATTAAGCACCATCACGGGAAAGTATGTGGAGGATCTGAACAGCTTATGGAGGAGGCAGTAGGGCATGCACTGAGGCTCGCGAAACTTATCTCTGGATAAGAGGGGACAGTCCTTTGGTTTTTGGTTTTTTCTTGGTGGTACTGGGGTTTGCACTCAGGCCCTCACACTTACTAGGCAGGCACTCTTACCGCTTGAGCCACTCCACCAGCCATTTTTTTCTGAAGGGTTTTGTTGAGATAGGGTCTTGCAAACTATTTGCCCGGGCTGCCTTCAAACTGTGATCCTCTGATTTCAGCCTCCTGAGTAGCTAGGATTATAGGCATGAGCCACTGGCGCCAGCTCAGTGCTTTGTTTTTTAAAACAATGGTGAAAAGTCAGAAGCAATGGTATGCTCAAGGCTTAAAAATAAATGATGCCACACCCGAATAGTAAGAAAAAAGTCAAGGTTTTAAAGTAAGGACTAAGGGGAGAGAAAGTCGCAGTGTGATGGTGGTAAAGAAAAGCAGGACACCAGAGTAGATTATATATAAAAAAAAAAAAATCTCAATTTTAAAAAAAGAATGTGTGAGACATTGAAAAATGACTGGAAGGGAATATCCCAATTGTTAAATCACGTTAATTTTAAGTAGTGGTTTTATGTATGAATTTCCCAAATGTCCTGCAATGAACACATATTGTTTTATAATTAGAAAAGAGCATTAAAAGTTTTTATTTATTATTTTTATTGTGCTAGGGGTACATTGTGACAGTTACCAAAGTTCTTACAATTTATCCTGGTTGAATTCACCCCCTCCATCATTCTCCTCAATAAAAGTTTTTAATGCACCCCGTTTTGCGTTGTGGTTAAACAGACTTCAGTTGGGCCCCATGGGATGACATTTTTGCTGTCCCCTCTGCACAGGCATGAACAGTCCAATCAGTCCCTGTGGACTGCCCTGTGAACTTTTCTTCTTAATGTACTTTAAGTAGAGAGCACACAGGGAGCCTGGTACTGCCCCTGGCCAGGTCACAGTTAGAAATTAAACACGTCTTAGAAAAAAGTCCCCACAGCATCAGGGGATCTGGTGCCTCCTGTTCCTCAAATCAGAAGGACCAGTGGCAGAGGGCACAGAGAGGCTGTGCACGCTAAGGTCCTGAAACTAGGAACAGGCCCTGGAGTGTAGTGGGGTTGCTCAGGGGTGGGTCAGGAGCTCTGGCTGCAAGGCCTCTTGAGATAACTGCAAGTGCTGGCCTGCCTCACAGCCTCTCTGGCTTCCATTCATTCATCTGTGCAATGAGGGCTTTGGTTACACCAGTGATCTGCAGACTTTCTGACCTCCTCAGTGGGAGACTTTCTCAGCTTGTAACTGGGTAAGCTGGCCAGCTCTCTTTCTGATTAGGATCAGAGAGTGCCAGACACTAGGTCCTGTTGGCCCAGTGAACACCAGACACAAAGAAGCCCTATGGCTCCAAGATTGGCCTCATTGTTAATCCTTAGTTTTTGTGGTGCTGGGGATTGAACCCAGGGCTTGGCACATGCTAGGCAAGCACTCTGCCACTGAGCTATAGCTCCAGCCCTAATCCTAGGTGTTTTTCCCTTCTGTGAAATGGGGGATGATGACACCTTCCACATCAGCCTTCCAAGTGGAGGGCAAGGGTCCAGAGCTAGGGTCCAGAGTGAGGGTGGCAAATAGGGTGCTCTGGACTCTATTGTCCTGACCACACTTCTCTGATGCCCAATGTGCTTCCTTTTCCTCAGGAGATGCTTCCAGAAAAAGGAGGAGAGGAGGGGACGATGTTCTGAGATGCCACCAGCCCTGCCCACAATAGCGATGCTCTCACCTTCTCCGTTCCTTTTGTGTGCTGTTCCCAAATGAGCTTCCTGCCACCGTGTTCTGGCCACGTCAGTCCTGGAGGGCTGTTAGGATGAGCTGTCCTGGTACCCAGCCTGTCTGTCAGGTAAACATGCATTGCTACAATTGCCATAGAAATTCGATTCTCATGTCTGGACAGAGTCTGCCCTCCTAGAGCTGGGTTGGCATGGAGATGGGAAGTCACCCCTGATAATACTCCTTTCAGTGCCAATGAGTCCCCTCGTCCTCATGGCTTTCTGAGAATCCAACCCTGTGGCCATCGTTGGCTGTTGGGGAAGGCTTGCTGAGCCAAGACTAAATTCTTGTGAGCTGGACTATTTTGTCAGCTAGCAGTAATTACCCTCCACTCTCTTACCCTTCCCAACCTCCAGTGTCCCAGTCATCCACCAGCAGATGAGTGAGCAATTGTGAGATGACCACGGAGCCCCGAGGAGGAAAGGTGCAGGCCAGCTGGATTCCAGGCCCATCTCACCATCTGCTATTTCATTGGAGAGACTGAAATTTGCTTTGGTTGGATAAGACTTGGAATGTGATTTTTTAGCAATGTGTTCATTTAAGTAAAACCCCACTATAACAAAACAGGTGGAGGATTATGGTTATCTGTTCTTGGAATGAGCTTTAATGGGGTTTTTATTTGCATTCCAACCACATCATGATCAAAATCTGCCCAAATATATGAGTCATGATTTAGACTCTAACCGCCAGAGAGCTGTGTATTCACAGCGATGCCCTGGGCTTAAGGTAGAGGTTTTCTCTCAGGGGGAAGCAGAGTGTGTTCTCAGAACTGTGCTTATGGATTTATTTCTTGGGACAATTCAACAACACTGGTTGAAAGCTTATTTCTTGAGTACAAGTGCCAGAACCGGATGTGGAGAGTCTTCGTTCTGACTGAGTAGTCTGTAAGGAGGTGGAGTTGGTCCACTACGGCTGCCTTAACAGGTGCTGCAGGATGCGTGGCCTCCACACAGAAAGGTATTTTCTCACGGTTCTAGAGGCTAGACGTCCAAGGTCAAGATTCCACTGGAGCTGGCGTGATGAGGGTAGACAGCTGCCTTTTCCCTGTGTCCTCATACGGTCTTTCCTTTGTGCATCCACGGACAGAGGTCTGTTGTATCTCTTCCTCGTCTTCTGAGGACATCAATCCTATTGAATTAGGATCCCACCCAAGGCTTCTGTCTAGCTGTCTGTTTTCCTGTGAGTTATGCCTCTACCCAAGATCCACCCCTCCCCAAACCTCAGCAGGAATATTTTGTGCCTTATAACCTCCATGCCTCCATTCAATTTTTTCTTTTCTTCAAAATGCCTTTCTTCCCCTTCTGCAGCTAACAAACTCTTATTGATCCTTCAAGACCCAACCCTGGAAGGCCTCCCTGAAGACTCAGAAATACTACTTCCTGCTGCATACTTGCCTGCTCTTGGCCAAGGTTTCCTTTATTTCACTTGCTATATAGAATTAGATTCAGTTCTGTCTCCCCCACAAAACTCTGTAGAGGACTGTTTTATTTATTTCTTTATCCTGATGCTTAGTATGGTGACTCAATGTTGAAAAAAATGGAGTCTGATCTATCTTCAGTAAGGAAATCTCTCTACAATAGAATTTGGTGAGGTTGGTTTGATTTTAAAAGAAAGCTACAATTTGACCTGAAACATTCAGCTTTCTGAAGTGATTTTGTGAATTTATTTAGAAGCTTTTGGGAAAGGGAAACAAGTGGACTGAAACTAGGAACTGGTGTCCTAAAGGGAACGTGTGGGACAGTCCTTTCCAGAGTCTGAGTCAGTGGGCTGAGAATTTAGGATGGGGGAGTGAGGTGGTGGAGAAGGGAGGCAGGCACAGTCCTAGATAGCCCTGTTCTCTGTCATGACAGGCTGAGGGCTCAATGCCCTTGTGACCCTTGGGTGTGACCCTGCAGGAGGTTCCTTTTTCAAAACTCCTTTTTTTCCATTTTCTCAAAACTTCTGATTAGGTTCTGGTTTTACATTCCTAGTTTGGCTAATGTTTACTACTGAGAGATCTGAATACGTGCCGACCTCGGATGACCGATTTCAGTGTCATGATGGCTCTGTGGAAGTCTGTGCTGTCCACCACATGGCCACTGGTCACCTGTGGCCATGGAGCACAGGAAGTGTGGCTAAAATATATACCAGCTGTGCTAAAATATATACCAGCTGTGGAAGACAATGCATTGTTTTTACTGATTTATATTTTTATATTGAATGTGTGCTGAAATGAAAATTCGAATTCATTGGGTTAAATAAAATAGGTTATTAAAATAAATTTTCAATAGTTTCTTTTTACTTTTTCAATTTGGCTACTGGAAAAACCTTATTACTCACATTCCATTTCCTAGTGAGTAGCTAGCACTCACTGCAGACCTTCTTGGCTACCATTTGGTTGTTCTTGTTTGTTTGTTTGTTTGGTTTTGTTTTTTTGAGATATTATCTTACTATGTAGTCCAGGCTGATCTCGAACTCACAACTCTCCAGCCTCAGCCTCCTGAGTGCTGGGATTATGGGTATGTACCACCATGCCCATGGTGTCTGGCTCCCTGCTACCCTTTGATATTCCAGACTAGTCTTTCTCTCTTCTCTGTCTCAAATGCCAGCAGCAGCAGTGGCTGTAGAATCACCAGCTGCCCAATGGTGCCCTCCCATCCTCCTTGCGGTGATTACTCACAGACCCTGAGTCACTCTCTAAAATTCGTTGTGATTTTAGCACTTGGCACCCAGCCTTTTGACTCAAATGATGTTCCTGTGCTCCAATACTGTCTCTCAGTATTTCCAAGTCTATATGGGCTCCAGCCTCTTTCCTCACCTCTCCATCAACCATTCGTAAGCATGATAACGGTCTACACTTATCAAACCAAACCCCACAGCTACACCACCCTAGTCTCAGTTTCAAGCATCCATTCTCTACCTCTCACCTCCTAGTTCTCCTTCACTAACTTTAGTGCTCACACTTCACAGTTCCCTGTCAGCTCTAGAGTCTACACTGTGTGTCTCCCATCTCTTGTTTGCTGTCTGTCACCTCTGCCTTGCCTTCACTTTTTTCCTGACCCTGTTGGATTCTAGTCCATTCTCATAGCCATTGCCTTCTGCACACCTCCATTCTAGTCTGGTAAAACCCCAGCCCTGGTTTAAATCCAGCTCTCCTCTTTCTCTGTCCTGACCCCTGGACAGCTGACCCTCAACTGGAGCAAGGCACACACAGGCTGGGTTTGCTCTCTCTGAATTCCTGAGTGCTGGCTGGGGTGGGCTCTGAGGTTTGCCTGGCAAATCGGCTCTGTCCATTTCCACTCAACGTGTCTCTCTCCTTAAACCTTCAGCATTTCCCCACTTTTAACTGACAGCTGGCCTTGCTCCTTACTTTGCAGAGAGAGAGAGAGAGAGAGAGAGAGAGAGATTGGGAGAGACTGTATGCACTTATTTGGTAGAGAACTTCTGACTTCTGAAACTCCTTCAACCATAACTACCCATCTGGCTGCATCTGAACCCCAGTTCTGCTCTTGGTGAAGGCCAGCATTCCTGAGCCGTTGGCGACTTCCTGGAAGTTTCCTAGTTCATCACTGCTCCCTCAACCCAGGCCCTCAGGAGGCTCTTCTGTGCTCACTGCTCCTCTAAGTCACTCATCCCCTGATCTCTGCCTCCTAGGATTACAGGAGTGAGCCACCAGCGCGTGGCCTTGACTCCACTAAATCACTCATCTCTAAGTCCACCCTAACCAGGCACTCATTTTCTCCACTCTACCAGAACTGCTTTTATCAAGGTCAGCAATGATTCCTGATTTCACTCCCAAGGTCAAGTTCCTCTTCTCATCTCATGTGAACTTTCAGTGGAATCTGTGGAGACTTTCAGTGTGTCTCACTCTCTCCTCTTTGAGCACTCTCTTCTTAGCTTTCCGATGTCACTTTCCAGCTTTCTCAGGACATCCGATCTCTGCCACACCCTTCTCAATTTTCTTTGCTTCTCTCTCATCTTCCCAACCTCTAAACTTTGAAATGCTCTGGACTCAACCCTTAGACATTTTGGTCTTCTCTTTTTAATGACCCCCATTTCATAGGCATGCTTATCTAAGCCTTGTGATTTTAAATCCACCTGTTCACACACCACACTTTCACGCAGATCCCAAGCACAAGACTGCCACCAGCTTCTGACACTCCACTGGACATCCCTGCTGGCTGTCTCATAGACTTCAAACTCCATCTACCTCTTGCTCCTGGGCTCCGCCTGCACCCATCATGCAGTAAATGACTAAGTACTCTCTCTTTCCACCAGAGCACATTCCTTGTCCATCTGCAAATCGAATTGTACCCGGCCTCCAGCCAGTATTACTGCCTCCCGCATACCCCAGTCCACGCCATCATTGCCTATGTCTCGAGTAGTGCAGCAGCCCCTCCTGACCTCCCCTTCCTGATGTGTCCCCTCAAGTCTAATCTGAACAAAGGCCATGGTGCCATGGTGAGTCTACTGGCTCCTGAGTCTTATCACATTCCTCATGTCACTCCTCTGGTCAGACCCTTCCGGTGGCTTCTCGCCTCACTAAGAGTAAGAATAAAGTCCTTAGGACAGCCGCAAGTCCTGTTGGATCTGGACCAGCTCCCTCTCTGCACTCCCTGCCTGATTCAGCCCTTTTCACAAATTCTGGCCACACTGGCCTTCCTGCCATTCTTCACAAACATCCAGCCCATTCCTGCTTCTGGGCCTTTGTACCTTCAGTTCCCTCTGCCTGGAATCCTCTTCTCTAAGAATCTATAAGGCTAGGTCACCCACTACCTTCTCATCTTTGCCCAGTGTGACCTTGCCAGTGGGATTTTCCCCATCTTTCTGTGTAGGATAGAAACCTCATGTTCCTGTCACCCCTTCTTCTAACTCTGTCTTACTCTACCCAACAAGTCACATTGACTTAGTTGCTGTTGCTGTTGTTCTTTGGTTTCTGACTTCCTCCTCACCCAAACTTAAATGACAACAGCCTGACACTTGGTCTGTTCTATCACTGCTGAGTCCCTCGGCCTGGAATTGTGCCCAGCACCTAATACATTTTTGATGGATGAATTTGAGGAGCCTGGCTGCCTTATCTACAAACTTCTACCAAAGCCTGGTTTCTACAGCAGGTGCTGTCATCATACTATGAATTCTGTTTCTTGTATTGGGTTCCCGAAGGTATTATGAGATGGACGGAGAACCTGCCCTACTGAAAGTAGTTTCTTAGTGTGGAGATTTGGTCAGGACAATGGAGGAAGGGACTCCTCGCTCCTGGATAGGGAGCTGGGTAGTAACCACCAGTTTCACCAACAGGAAGGTCCCCCTTGGCCCCAGACTCCAGCATGTCTGTACTGAGATCAAAGTAATACCATCAGATCTAATACCTCAATCTAATGCCATCAGAAAGTCTAGCATCACTGGGGCTGTGGCTCAGTGGCAGAGCATTTGTCTAGCATGTGCAAGGCCCTGGGTTCCATCTCCACACCGCAAGAAAACACAAATGTGTGATATACTCAGAGACGTGCAGGCCCACAGAACAGCACGTTCTGCTCCAGTGAGCATATGAAGAAAAGGCAGATGTCTAGTCATTAAAATGTTTTTGATGAACTTACCACAGGTTATTTTGCACACATTGGGGACCCTGGGCATTAAGGACAAAGACCTAAAAAGTAAAAACAGAAAAAAAAAAACAAAAACAAAAAAGAAAGCCAAGGATACTTCATGTATTTTAAAAGTGACAACAGCAATTTTGCCCAAATGTGTGTCTTCAACTTTTAATGCACCCAGCCTGGTAAGGCTGGAAATGGGGCCACAGAGGTGAAATGATTTTCAAAATGTGACTCAGAAAACTCTTGCAGGACTGGAAGTGGATCCCAGGCGTCCAGCCCCTCTTGTGTTGCTGTATTGATTTTGGCCAGTGGCCACCAGCAGGTAGATAATGATACAGAATGAAGGGCTAGTGGGGATCTCCTCCCCCAAATCACTCAATCAGTTCTCCCTTTTGGTGAAATCCTGCTTTTGTCATTGTCAGGAGAACTGTGCCGTCTATTAAGAATAACTTGAAGGCTAGGGGCCACAGCAGAAGGGTCCTTTTTTATTTCAACTCTGCAGTTTTCATGGTTTTGTTTGTGTGTTGACTTATTGACAGAAAATTACCTGAAGAGCCCAAGGCCTCCTCATGGATGAGTCAAATGCGACATCTCTTGGTGCCGAGGAATCCATGAACACCTCGGCAGGCAGGAACTCCTCCGCCCGGAACTCACCTCCACCCATTCCCATGGTGCACTGGGTCATCATGAGCATCTCCCCAGTGGGGTTCGTTGAAAATGGGGTTCTCCTCTGGTTCCTCTGCTTCCGGATGAGGAGAAACCCCTTCACGGTCTACATCACCCACCTGTCCATCTCTGACATCTCCCTCCTCTTCTGTATTTTCATTCTGTCCATCGACTATGCTTTAGATTATGAGCTCTCGTCTGGTCACTACTACACAATTGTCACATTATCAGTGACTTTTCTGTTTGGCTACAACACGGGCCTCTACCTGTTGACAGCCATCAGTGTGGAGAGGTGCTTGTCAGTCCTCTATCCCATCTGGTACCGATGCCACCGCCCCAAGCACCAGTCGGCATTCGTGTGTGCCCTCCTGTGGGCACTTTCTTGCTTGGTAACCACCATGGAATATGTCATGTGCATTAACAGTGGAGAAGAGAGTCACTCTCGAGGTGACTGCCGGGCCACCATCATCTTCATAGCCATCTTGAGTTTCCTGGTCTTCACTCCACTCATGCTGGTGTCTAGCACCATCTTGGTGGTGAAGATCAGGAAGAACGTGTGGACCTCACATTCCTCCAAGCTGTACATTGTCATCATGGTCACCATCACCATCTTCCTCATCTTTGCCATGCCCATGAGGCTCCTCTACCTGCTGTACTATGAATACTGGTCCACGTTTGGGAACCTGCATAATATCTCTTTGCTTTTCTCCACCATCAACAGCAGCGCCAACCCTTTCATCTATTTCTTTGTGGGCAGCAGCAAGAAGAAGCGTTTCAAGGAGTCCTTAAAAGTGGTTCTGACCAGGGCGTTCAAAGATGAAATGCAACCCAGGCGCCCGGAGGACAATGGCAATACCGTCTCCATCGAGACCGTCGTCTGAGGCCTGTGGGGGGGATTTGTGGAAAGAAATGTTGGGCCACAAGTGACTTTTAGTTTGTGCTCAGAATATACTTTAAGTATTTTCAAATCTCCTGAATATGGTAGAAGGACAGCCATTCGATATGCATGGCATTTTAATTCATGATGAGGCTGTATCCTGTCCCATATCTTCTGGAAATGCGGAAAATAGTGTTGGACCTCTGTAATTTCTGTACATAGCAAAGACTCTTTCTGCTGTTCTCAGATCTCTGGTAGCATTTTCCCATGAACCATAAAAAAACTACTTGAGCAGGAAGATTTACAAATGGTACCAGGAAAGGGTCACAAAAGCTAGGGTTTTAGAGTCTGTCCTTTGCAACCTGTGTGACCTCAGACAAGTGGCTTGACTTCTTGAAGTCTCACTTCCTCACTTACGAAGTGGTGGCAATAACAGCGTATGCCTCCCGGGATTGTTGTGAGGACAACATGAAGAGAAGGAAACAAAGTCCCTGGCACACTGTCCACGTTCAATAAACGTCAGTCTCTCCTCACTCCTTTAATTAAGTGGAAGACAGAGAGCTTATTTCTGCTTTGTGAATCCCACACACACAGGCACATAAGAATAACACCCAGCCCGACATGCACAAGCCTTGTCATGTGTTTTAAGACACTGACTATAGATTTACGAAGGTCTTCTTTGGCTGACATCTTGAAAGCTGTAATCCCCTCTGGAAGACAGGAGATTGTACACGGTCCAACGTTGGTTCAGGTTGTCAAGATGAACATTTGTCCCCAGCAGAGGAGTTTCTCATGGCTTCTCTTCCCTGTGGCAATGAACGTCTGTGTTTTGAAATCCTTTGATTGCATACACCATGTCACAATTGCAACTTAATTCATGAGTTCATGAGTGATTGTGTCTTTGAAGGCCCCCTTTCCTAAAGTGGTGGGTTATTTTAGTCAAAAGTTCTCATCTATAGTCACGCACGTCTGTGCCTCTGCTCCTCCTTTTCCCTGGGTGTTTCCTTGCATCATTCCTGGAGGGGATCTTCATGGCAGGGGCTGTGGGAATGTGGCCATATCTTGAAGGTGTCTGGATGCTTTTCCTCAAGACAGATCTTTGCATGACCTGACAGCATTTTTACTGAGTGCTGGTCCAAGGAAGGTTCTTCCTCCAGCATCATTCCCAGGTCACATGTCCTGGGCTTTGGCTACTAGCCTGAGCTCAGCCTATGGACTTAGATATTACTCTGCCTATTTCTGTCCCTTCTAGAAGTCCCATTAAAATGGCAACACTTCATGTGATTCTTCATGGGGGTAAAATGCTCAATTCCATATATGAGCCATTAATGTTTATTTTAATGGCTTGTCTGCCAAAGGGTCAGAGAACCATGATAAAATGGCTCTCTCTTGCCACTGGTTTCCTTTCCATTCTCTTCCACTCACAAAAGGAACGATTGCCCGTAACCATGGGGGCTGCTTGCCGGGAGCGATGTGCAAGTCTCTCCCACCGAGCTAGGACCTGCTGCCAGCCAACTTGGATGCAGGAGGCTTTTTGTGGGTGATGACATCTGATTCAGAAACAAGGAGGCTTGCTTTCAGGAGCCCAGATGGGGAGTAATGACATTTACAATGATCTTGTTTTCAGTTGAAAACAGAGTTTCTTTACTGGGAAAGAACAGAATGTGGAAATCAGAGTGGCTCCCCTCTGTTTCTAACCCTTTCCCGGATGCTGTGCCCTAGGTCTGGGTTAATAAAAGGGGGTCATCTTATCCCATCCCAACAGGGACTGTGTTAGGTTTCTGTTGCTGGGACAAATACCTGAGATTAGTCAATTTGTGAGGAGGTCAGGTTTATTTCAGCTCACAGTTTCAGAAGGCTCCGTCTGTGGTCACTTGGCCCTGTTTCTTTGGGCCCATGGTGGTACAGCACATCATGGCAGGAGTGCATGATGGATGAGGTCTGTTCACATCATTGTGACCAGGAAGCAAAGAGACAGAGGTGTCCCAATAGTTCCTTCAAGGGCGCACCCCGAATGACCTAACTTCCTTCTAGTAGGCTCTACCCCCTATAGGTTCCACACCTTTCAACAGCACCACAGGTTCTTGGGCAAGCCGTTAACATATGAGCCTTTGTGGAACACTTTCAAACCATAGCAAGTGTCTGGGTCCCAAGGAGGAAAGTGAAGATATCAGAGCCAATTCCCACCCAAGGAAAATACAGTGAACAAACTGGAATGCCTACTCATTGCTTCTCTGCAGATTAAGCGGGGATCCTGAATAGAGCAATGAATGTAAAAATGTATTTAAAGTGTTCAAGGGCCAGCCCTCGCACAGAGGTAGGCGGTGGAGTTTTAACTGTGCTGTAAACACAAAGTCTTCTCTCTTCTTGTAAATCCACTCCCAAAGTGAACTATAAAGTTAAAACTAAAACAAGACTGAAATCAATTTGCACATGTGGAGAGACTAGATAATTTATACCCTTGGAGCTTTCATTTGCCCAAGTCATTATAGATTGCGGTGCCATTTCTGAAAATTCTCTGGAACAGAGAAGAGATTGTTCAGATATAATACCTGTCCCCTTCCTACCATTTTTGGCAGGGTTTGATCTCAGGGTTTTGTGCTTGTCAGGTAGGCACTCTACCATTTAAGCCACTGCCCCAGCACTTTTTGCTTTGGTTATTTTGAGATAGGGTCTCACATTTATGCCCCAGCTGGTCTGGCCTATGATCCTCCTATTCATACTTCCTGAGTAACTAGGGTGACAGGTGTGAGCCACCACACCCAGCCACGACACCTGTTCTTAATGAAAGGGAAGAGGTTGCAGCATTCATGCCACAAATATTCAGGCATGGATGGTCTTCACTGTGAAACTCCGTAATGTGAACAAGGTGAAGACTGACAAATGGAGCCCTGTCCTCTGCAACAGGAAGGAAAGGTGCACACGTAAACTCAGCTCCAAGCTGCATGCAAATACTTGTCTGAGAGTGTTGGGAACAAAGGTGACAGTAAAGAAGAAATCACATTTTTGCTTTTGTTTTTTTTTTGTGTTGGTGGGAATGGAACCTAGGACATCACACATGGTAGGCAAGTGCCCTGCCGCTGAGCTATGCCCCAGCCCCATCACTTCTTTGTAGTAAAAAAGGAACACTCCCTGGAGGGGCCCTTTGGGTTGCTTCAAGTCAGGTAGATTTCGCGCTGAAGAGGGAGAGGTCCCAGGAGAGGATGGAGCGTGAGGACGGGGCAAGGACACAGAAAGTCCGGTCATCCCCTTTGCCAGCCGTTCCTCATTTTGTCCTGGACCACCACCTCCTGTCTTTCTTGCACTTGCCCTGACCTTCTGCCACCATGTCCTTCATGTCCTTTGGCACAAGGCTCCCAGACTTTCTCTCCCTCCATTTTCACAGCTCCTAGCATACGTGGCAGGTGTGACTTCTCATGGTCAGAGTCCTCCACAGGCAGCAGCACGCGTGAGCTCTGGCAGCCTTCAGCTCTTCTCAGAGCTGCACTCTGGGTCTATAACACCCTATACCCATCCAGTTTTGCAGGTGAAATCCTAATGTTCTACCCTTGAGTCCCTTACTTTCCCACATCCACTGCCCTGGGTTTCTACCCCATGGAGACCTCACCCCATCTATAAGCCCCCTTCTGTGTCATGTCTGTCTCTCCAGCTGGTCCTCTCTGGTGGTCCACACCTGGCTGGCTGACTTGTCACTTAACCACCATGTTGAAATTGACCTGGCTTAGGAATACCAGTCACTTCCATGTTGCCAAATCTGATAGGGTCTCAGTCTGTTTCCTTAGCTCTAACAGATTCCCCAAACAATAATTCATGAATGAATGGATTTTATTTTGGCTTACTACTCTGGAAAGTCCAAGATTAGGCTGCTGTGTCTGGGGAAGGCCTCATGTTTTGTCATAACAGATGGAATCGCGGAAGGGCAAGTGGATGTGTGTAGAAGAGATGAGGCATGAGCAGTGGCCTGGCTTTATAATAATCACTCTCAGGAGAATAAACCCACAAGGAAGGCATAATCTCTCCTCAGGACCTAAACCCCCCATAACATCCCCACCTTCCACCACTGCTGCAACGGTAATCAAATTTCAATGTGAGTTTTGGAGGAACAAACCACATCCAAACCCATATCTCAAATGGCTCCTTCTTTCCTACCTGTTGTAGCATTTGACATCATCGGCCATATTCTTCTTAAAAATATCTCTTCTCTTGGATTCCAGTTGGCTACTTTTCTCTACCTCTCATCTTTTTTTAATTTCTGGAATTTCATTTCATAGTTTCAGCTGGAGGCTGACTGAAACCTCTGAAAGTGAGCCACGCGTAAGGGGACCACTGGACAGGCTTTGAGTTCCCTGAGGTATGGTTTACAGATGGTAGGATTTGCCCTGATTGGTGCACAGCTGTGTATGCCCAGACAGATGCAAATAGCCACCAGGCAGCACGCAACAGCCCCAGCACCCCCAAAGCTTCCCCACACTTCTTTGTACCCCAGCCCCTGGCAGCCACTGAGTCCCTCACTCCCTGACCCTGTGTTTTGTCTTATTCTAGGACATCACATAAAAGGTGCCACCTATCTGCAACCTGTTCATACTGGCTCCTCTCACTCAGCATGATGCAAGTGAGATGTGGTCACAGTGCTGTGGGAATCAGTGCTTTGCTCTTCTCTTTCCTGAGAATCCTTCACACGGCTTGGTCACCATGCACTCGTGGAGGGCATTTGGTTGTTTCTAGTTTTTAGTGATTGTGAGTAAAGTTATCAATTGCCATGCACAGGTTTGATGTGAACCTAAGATTTCATTGTTCTTGGGTACATATCTGGAGAGTCACTGTCTGAATGGCTGGTAAGTGAATGTTCCCTTAGAAAAACTGCCATCGTGTTTTCTAGAGAGTGAGTCTGCCTTGTTCTCCATCTTCGACCAATTCAGAATCCTCTTGTCTTTTCTATTGCTCTTTTCCTGCTCCTCCCCTAGATGGCCACATTTCCTATGGTTCAGTGACTGGGCCTCTGCCCTTCTCCTTCTGAACACTCTCCCTGGGTGTCCTGATCCATCATCA